CATCACACTACCACCACCATATTTTACTGTTGGTATGATGTTCTTTTTCTGAAATGCAGTGTTACTTTTACGCCAGACGTAATGGGACACACACCTTCCAAAAAGTTCAACTTTTGTCTCGTCAGTCCACAGAGTATTTTCCCAAAAGTCTTGGGGATCATCAAGATGTTTTCTGGCAAAACTGAGACGAGCCTTTATGTTCTTTTTGCTCAGCAGCGGTTTTCGTCTTGGAACTCTGCCATGCAGACCATTTTTGCCCCGTCTCCTTCTTACGGTGGAGTCATGAACACTGACCTTAACTGAGGCAAGTGAGGCCTGCAGTTCTTTGGATGTTGTTGTGGGGTCTTTTGTGACCTCTTGGATGAGTCATCGCTGTGCTCTTGGAGTAATTTTGGTCGGCTGGCCACTCCTGGGAAGGTTCTCCACTGTTCCATGTTTTTGCCATTTGTGAATAATGGCTCTCACTGTGGTTCGCTGGAGTCCCAAAGCTTTAGAAATGGCTTTATAACCTTTTCCAGACTGATAGATCTCAATTACTTTCTTTCTCATTTGTTTCTGAATTTCTTTGGATCTCGGCATGATGTCTAGTTTTTGAGGATCTTTTGGTCTACTTCACTTTGTCAGGCAGGTCCTATTTAAGAGATTTCTTGATTGCGAACAGGTGTGGCTGTAATCAGGCCTGGGTCTGGCTAGAGAAATTGAACTCAGGTATGATAAACCACAGTTTTATCAGGGGGGCAAACACTTCATCCCACAGGGCCATGTAGTTTTGGATTTTGTTTTCCCTTAATAATAAAAACCTTAATTTAAAAACTGCATGTTGTGTTTAGTTGTGTTATCTTTGACTAATATTTAAATTTGTTTGATGGTCTGAAACATTAAAGTGTGACAAACATGCAAAAAAAACATGCCAACACTTTTTCACACCACTGTATCATTGATAACTTGACTTCAGAACTCATAGATCTGTCTTTACAGGCTTCCATTAAACTTTAAAATCAGTTTCCCTATGGAGAAAATGAATGGGATTATCAAATCACACCTCTTTTTAGTAAAGTAAACTTTAGGGAAAATTTTCCTTTTTTTTCTCAGATTAACAATTACTAGACTGAAGTTAAGCGATTTACATATTTGAAACTCTTTTTCCAAATTATGCACAGACACTGCAGTTGAATGCTGAGATTTTTTTTTTATTAGTAAGTCATTAAAACAGATGAACAGCTTCCAGATATTGACACAACTGTGAGTTTATAAAGACTGACACAAATGTGTGACATTGATGTGTGACCTGATCAGAAATGATTATCATTTGCCACTAGCACATTTCCATGAGTATAATATTTGATGGTGTTCCAGTCAAACATGTTTCCCTTCAGCACATTTTTTTCTGGTTTGTATAAACCGCCCCGTACACACTTAAGACATTAATTTAGCTACGTACACTAGATGTCACTATGGGACTGTTTTAAAGAGGCCGGCCCAATATTTGTAACATCAAGATTTTAGGTTAAAATTTATGTTCGCAAAGTCACATTTCTTCAAAGTGTTTCACCACTTTAATGACATTTTAACTTGTATGTAAATTTTCACTCACACCTCTTTTTCTGTCAAGGAAACTTTGGGGAAAAATATTAGGCCTATTTCATCATTTTTTTTGTGAGAAAACAGTTACTAGACTAAAATTAAATGATTTAGAACGTTTTTGAAACTTTTTTCAAATTATGCACAGACACTGCAGTTGTAATGCTGAGAAAAATTTATTTGTTAGCCCTTACAGCTTTGCAAGTCATCAACACAGATGAACAGATTATAGAGATTGACACAACTGTGTGATGTTACACCTGATCAGAATCAGTTATTTTGAGCCACAACCACGTCTCCCTTGATCTCATATTTGATGGTGTTCCAGTCGAACACGTTTCCCTTCGGCACATACGGTTCCTGGTTTGAATAAACTGCCCTAATCTGACTGCCATAGAGAACATAGTCCCACATTTGCACATCAGTAATTTCTCCTACAAAGCTCTGCTCCGCATCAAAGGTGCTCAAATATGTATCAGCGTCTTGGCCAAGCAGGACGGTGCCGCCAGGACGGATTGAGAGACCTTTTCTATAGATCTGGAACAAACTGCGACGTCCATCCACCCAGAAGGCAGTGAGACCAGTCGCAGAGTCCCAGGTGACACACAGATGAGTCTGGAAGGTGGAGAGAGGAGGCAGAAGGAAAAATGCTGCATCACCACTAGACTGAATACGCAAGGCCACGCGACCATCTTTCTCTCTCCACACGTTGAGTTCATCAACCTCGGGTGTGCGGTAAGTGAAGAGAATGATCTGCCTCTGGCCCTGGAGCTCCGTCGAGACACGCATGCAGAGTGTGAATGCTGAAAAACTCAGTGGCTTTTCAGGAGTGAGTTTAACAAAGCTGGTAGCAGTCTTGGTTGGAAACAGAAGTACTTTACCACTGAGACCCACTGCCAGACAAAACCAAATTAAACCATAAATATACATATATATATATATATATATATATATATGCATTTTTTTACAATAGACAACTGAAATCCCCCTCACAACATTCCATGTAATCTATAAATGAAAAATGTGGTACCTTCAGTGGCCACTGGTGTCAAAAAGACGAGACCGAAAAATAAACCCAACATCTTTCTGCAGGTCTGAGGGCAAAAAATGCAAAAGAAAATCCATTACTTCTTTTAGCAGATAAACTCTTCACTGCATCTTAAGTGTTAAATCACTTTTTAGAGACAAAGAAACAAAAGGTTCACAATAAGAATACTTACAATGTTCAACAAGTGTTGTCAGAGAGGAGATGACTTCAGGTCAGCTGTTTGTCTCCTAGACAGTCGTGATGATCAGTGTCTCGAGTATTTATTTGCAGAATGGGTTGAGCCCAGATTCAGGTAAGAGCCTCCCAGTCATCTTGTTGTTAATAATTAATTTGTTTTTGTTTAACCTGTAAAAGGGAAGCTGACGTGTCCTGCAGTGACATTGCATGCATTGTTATGCAGTTGCTGAATGCAGTTACGGATTAATTTAATGAGATTCATACTATAAAATAACACACAGCAGAACTGCAAATAACGTCATTTAAATGATAAAAAGAGATAGCATTTCAGAAATACACACTTTCTTTGTACACTCACATACATTTAAAAAAAAAAAAAAATGTTTTAACCTAAAATCTTAGCTTTGCTGTTACAATGATAATATTTCGCTATATCCCTACTTTCTGATAATGACTCATCCACAACAGATCAATACAATCATGTGTGAAAAATTCCTTCATAGCATATATAGACATGAAATTCATTTAGTTTTTAAATATTTTTAAAATCTCAATGTCTTAAACAAAAAAAATCCATACAGTATATTTTTCTTAGAAAAAAAGAAACAGACTTCAGAAAAAGTCTCCATTAACTCTCCATGTAAATCTCATTGCTGTCCAGGAGAAATAGTTGAGATAGTTTTAAATTAGATGAGCCAAAACATTATGACCACCCATAGATGAATATGGTGAATATGGTTAACCATCTCCTAACAAGGTCACATGTGAAGGTCTGGGTAATATTATATGGTACATGAAGCAGTTCATGTTGTCAGTGTGAGTAATGGGCAGGAATAAAGATCCGGGTGACTTTGACAAAGGCCAAATTGTTGTTGCCAGAAAGCTGTCAGAACATCTCAGAAACCAACCAACCAACAGTGATTCAAGGGGGGACAAAGCACAAATTGGTGTCAGTGTGTAGGGCATCCAAGGCTCATCGATGCATAAGGCCCTGTTGCCTCTTCCTGCTTCTCCATTCTGTGCAAAGTTTTCTGGTCCATATACGGTTATTCGTCAAGTTTCAGATCAGAATGATCTGATTTCAACTCCTGAACGAAAGCGACGTTCATAGTTGTGCCATGTAAACTTGCTAAAACCTTTTTACTCTGGTTCTAGTGATTTGGAGAAGGTTCCAGTAGCAGTAGCTGTGGCTTCTCCTGTGATGGAAGTTGCAGAGGATATTAAAGAACCTGGGGATGGGTATGTTGCGGCCCCGACTAAATAACTCTGAAGTTTTATATAACTTGGAGGATTTTGTGCAACATTTGCCTTTTCCTCAGAGAGCTGAGTTGCTAGCTTTGATTTCAGATTTTCCTATGTTGTTCTCAGATTCTCCTTCACGCACTCATTTGATAGAGCACAATATAGATGTTGGTAATGCAACACCAATACGTCAGCGTTTTTATCGTGTTTCTTTGGATAAGCAACAATATCTTGAGTCGGAAATTAAATATATGATCGAAAATAACATCGCTAAACCGCCTTTCTCAAGTTGGGCATCACCTTGTTTATTAGTGAGGAAGCCAGATGGGATGTATCGCTTTTGTATTGACTATCGGAAGGTACATAATGTAACAAAACCATACTCTTTCCCTTTGCCCTGAATGGAAGATTGTGTAGATTCGGTTGGCTCTGCTTTGTATGTCAGTAAATTTGATCTACTAAAAGGATATTGGCAAGTGCCGTTAACAGCTCGTGCACAAGAGATTGCTTCTTTTATTACCCTTTCTGGGCTATATTCTTACTCGGTTATGAGTTTTGACCTTCGAAATGCACCCACTACTTTTCAGTGCTTGATGAACCATGTAACTTCTGGGCTAGATGAATGTGCTGTCTATTTAGATGATGTGGTTGTATATAGTGGTACGTGGGAGCAACATCTTTTACGTATTAGAGCACTTTTTGAGTGCTTGGTGGAGGCTAGGCTCACAGTCAACTTGGCGAAGTGTGAGTTCGCCAAGGCGTATGCGCAATGCTGACCTCATACGTCATCCACCCAGAACTGCTTCCAGTGTACAACTGTTGGCGCAAGCTACATTAAAGTGATTATTACGTTTTGAATATGAATATTTTCTCACAAAAAACGCATCGATTCGCTACAGGAGGCCTTTGTTCACCCCCCGGAGCCGTGTGAGACACTTTTTTTATGGATGGCGCTTTTTATTTAACTTCTTTTGGACTGATGCATGCAACACCCGCTGAGCGGCATTAAACAGCTTGAAATATCAAAGACCATTTTTAATACAACTCCGACTGGATTTGTCTGAAAGAAGAAAGTCATATACACCTAGAATGACTTGAGGGTGAGTAATTTAAGGGGCTAATTTTCATCTTTGGGTGAACTATCCCTTTAAGCTGTTATCTGATTGTATGCGGTTAGTGATGTCCAGTTCGTGAATGAATCATTCTTTTTAGTGAACTTGATGAACCAGTTCACTTGTTTAAAACAATCGGCGACTCGCGTCACACTGATCCTCAAAGCTCAAGTTAACAACACACTGATACTGTGATAGCAGATGCACATGCGTGAACTGAGGACTTGAATGAGGGTGCAAAATGTACGTTTCTTAAATAATTATTTAAAATGTAAATCAGGTATATGCCCATACACATGCCTTTATTTAAAAATGTGTTTGAGCATGTATTTGACCTTTTCTACAGTCTGTCTAGGGAATCTTTACACACAAGCTAAAATGTTTTCTTTCATAATATTGGGTTTCTTTGTGTTGTCTGTCTGTTTTGTTGGGGTTAGTTTGGGGTATACTTGCGATATACTTATTTAACCACTGTACTTGTTAAAACACTGTTAAAACACTTGTTAAAACACTGTCAATGAGAATGCAGTCTTGTTTAAAGGGGTCATATGATGCGATTTCAATTTTTCCTTTCTCTTTGGTGTGTTACAAGCTCTTGCTGCATAAAGAAGATCTGTAAAGTTGCAAAGACTAAAGTCTCAAAACCAAAGAGATATTCTTTATAAAAGTTAAGAGTCAACCACGCCTACCTAAAACGGCTCGTTCTAACACGCCCCCACATGTCTACATCACGATGTGGGAAGATTTGAATAACGCCGCCCAAATGTTCACGCAAAGAAAGAAGGCGTAACTTTTATTCTCGCTGTAGTATTGTTGACGCCGCCGCCATGTCGTGAAGGCGCTGTGTCACAAATGCAGTCATGGTTTATGTTTACGTGGTGCGATGCAACGCGTAAAAAGACAGTATAAGTCATTATAATCCGTAATTATGTCCTCACTGGATGCAACAAATGCCTCGTTTATAATGGGTTTTTAATGTTTTTGTCTCGTCGCTCCGGCCGGACACGGCATCACAATATGGTAAGGGCGTAACATTTCGGTCACACACTTGAGGTATTCGGCCAATCACATCGCACTGGATAGCTGGCCAATCACAGCACACCTCGCTTTTCAGAACGATGAGCTTTGTAAAAATCGATGCGTTTCAGAAAGGCGGGGCATAGAGGAGAAACAATAATGTACAGTGTGTGGAAAATAATGTGTTTTTTTAACCTTAAACCACATAAACACATTTCATTACACCAAACACACAAAATAATGTTCTTTTTAGAAACATCATATGACCCCTTTAAAAAAAAAGGATTTCAGTCGCAGCATAGAAATTATGAAAATGAATTTTTTTGTGGCAAAAAAAGCTAATTTTTATAGCAAACCTCAGCTGTTCGTATTATATGAGAGATCTTTTCCACGATAAAGCAGTCTTCTTGGTACAAAATCTGTCACCACATAATGTATATTAAACCTCAAATAAACTTTTTGCCATTTTGGTTTTGTGCCATTGAGTAAGAGTGGAAAATTACATTGCTGGAAAATTATCACAGCGCATCTGGTTTCAGATTCACAAATATTTAAAGAAAAAAAGTCAGATGTTGTCTGATTCTGTGGTAGTTGGTGATGTCCAGTTCGTGAACAAATTATTTTTTCATCAGCTTGACGAACCAGTTCACTTGTTTAAAACAACTGGCAACTCGCCTCAACTTTTTAAGATAGAAGTTAAGATGTTCATAAGAATGCTCTTACGAAGATCTCAAATATTAGATATAATCCTCTCACGCAATCTGGAAAACCATTAAAAATAAACCATCCACCTCCTGACGCGGAGTACAGAGATGCAAACGGTTTAAACTGGACGCGTCAAAGAGAACGTTCCTTTAAACCGAGCTCACACTACAGGAGTTTTATACCAGCTTATTCCTGATTTAGCCCTCCTGATAATCTGAGAAAAAATCTTGTCCAGGACCTTGGTCGGCTCCAATATTTGTCCCAGATTATCTGGGAATACGAGGCTTTTCTGGTCAAATCTTAAACCAGGCTCAGACTACAGAAGCTTTTAAATCCTAACCGATTATGAAATCTGGAGAGTAAGGAGAAACTTAACAGACTGTCTTCTCTCAAAACTCAAACATGCACACACTACAAGATTTGAAAATCGTGGCACACCAAACACTACAAGATATTATGAAGATTATCATTATTAATCTTAATAATATAAGAATTGTCGCAGAAAAGTCATGTCCCAAATCTTTAAGTAGTTTACACAATATATATTTGCATTGAAAGATGAGATGTGAGAAAGATGTGTGTTATCCTGCAGGTATTATTTTACTGTCTTAACTGTTTATATTTTTATAATGCATTATTTTCTTGTCGATCCACCAGTTCACATTTACAACTGTGTTTGCAGCGTAAAAACATGAGTTGATTTTCACATTTGAAATTGACATCAGTGGTTCAACTGTAAAGTTACGAAGCTACGAGAATACTTTTTTGCGCAAAGAAAACAAAAATAACGACTTTATTCCACATTTGTCTCTACTGCATCTGACCCAGATCCGGCGTGATGACGTCACACTTCGTAACTTTACAGTTGAACCACTGATGTTACACGGACTACTTTGTCGATCATCTTGGTACTTTTCTGGACCTTGAACGTGGTAGTTACCTTGCTGACTATGGGAGGGTCAGAGAGCCCTCAGATTCCATAAAAAATATCTTAAATTGTGTTCCGAAGATGAACGAAGATCTTATGGGTTTCGAACAACACGAGAGTGAGTAATTAATGACAGAATTTTTGGGTGAACTATCCCTTTAAGTGAACCTTGCAGAAGTCGTTGGGCCAATGGATGGTCATTACAGCGTGTCCTGCAGTGACACTGCATGCAGTTTTGCAGTTACTGAATGCAGTTTGTAGTTCGCAGTTAAGGGTTAATTTAATGAGAGACTACATTAATCATGTGTACTTGTATTTATACTACTCTCTAAAAAATGCTGGGTTAAATATAACCCAGCGCTGGGTTAAAAAGGGACAAACCAACCGCTGGTTCAAAACAACCCAATAGCTGGGTTTGTCCCTTTTTAACCCAGCGCTGGGTTATATTTAACCCAGCATTTTTTAGAGAGTAGTATAAATACAAGTACACATGATTAATGTAGTCTCTCATTAAATTAACCCTTAACTGCGAACTACAAACTGCATTCAGTAACTGCAAAACTGCATGCAGTGTCACTGCAGGACACGAATCACAGGAATAAATTATATTTTTAAAAACGTATTTCAATAGAATTATTTTACATTGCGGTATTTCACAATATTGCTGTTTCTTGTCAAATAAATGCAGCCTTGGTGAGACTTCTAAAACATAAATAAGAAACAAAAACAAAAAAAAAGAATTGAATGTGTAAATATTCAGTATTGTGGCAAAATATCATGAATAAATGTGAGCAGAGGCACAATTTCCATTTTTCCATCCTCTGATTCTGTAATGACAGCTACTGTCTTTTTTGCGGTCATGCTGATGCTTACTGTATGCTTACAGTATATCATTACGATAGCAACCCATGTAATACAGACTTCACTGTTTGAACACAAATTACAGATTTCTTTACTTACAAAAGGACAGTACAAACACTCTGAATGTGAAAGATTATTTTGGGAGCAATTTATTTTGTAAAAAGTCATTTGTGTAGCAAACATCATTCCTATTCTTTTCTGCTTATCCAGACATGGCACCATAAAGCGACAAGAGGAATTTTACTGGTCTAAAATCCCTCTCCTCGTACTCTAACTGTATATTAAACATCAAATAAACTTTCCTTGACTTGCCATTGAGCGATATTTGCTATTACTTTGCTGGAAAATGATCACAGTGCATCTGGTGGTTCACAAATCTTTCGTGATTTGTGCAACAATAATCATTACCACAACCTTTCTAAAGAACTCTATCTTCACACACAAGCTGAAAGGTCATCAGTGAGCATTGCTCAATAAGTGACTGTTTTTTTGTTCTTGAGGCCTCTTAACAGTTCATGCTTTGTTTTGCTCTGGCTCTATTTGAATGTGCTCTGCACAACAGACATTATGCAACCATTTCTCTGACTCTCACACACATTCCCACACATCGAGTACTCAATGTCCACAAGTATTCATGCTGTCTCTTTCTTTACTGTACAAAATATATATAGAAAATACAATAAAAATGCTACAGTAAAAACCTGTTAATTTTAAAAGTTAGTTACCGGACATTGTCAAATGGTGAAAAATAATATTAGATTTACTAATACAATATATATTTTACTGTAAAATTCTGAGTGAATCACTTTTTTGGTAAAGTATGAATTATTTTATAATTTATGGTGATAATTACATTACATTTAACAAGACAATTCATGTATTTTCACAGAAAATTTAAAACCTTTAATAATATATAATTTTTATAATTAAGTCTCGTTATTTTTTTTTTATCGGTTATGTACATTTGACTGTTTTAAATGACCAAAATGCCTCCCATACTGCCTGAAACTTTGTTGCCATATTTTTAAGTGAATTTCTGGCAACCACAGCTGTACTGACCAGCAGCAACTGTGACCATTCATTCTTCTAATTCTACTCTCTCTCATTCACGTACTCTATGAACCCATCCAGTGGTCAGAGAGCGAAACAGCTGTTATGTGTCACTCTAAGTTATGTGTCAGCAGCACTCAGAATAGCATGAAGACAGACTCCTGCAGCACTTTATTTAACTTTTATGAAATTCGATCAAATCTGGAACACTTTACTATACGAAATCCTTGAGCTCGGTTAGTACTTCATCTGAAACTTGTGCATGTAGTGAGCTTCTGAAATAACACCACGTGTTGTGACATACTATGTTCTTTGCATGAGTACTTTTTTATTAGTAAAGTCTATTGCTTATACTTAGAGTTAGTGATTTGAACAAGCTTCAAACTGTTAGCATTAAACTTCAGGGTGTGTCGTCCTGCAGTGTTTGTGCTGTAGACATGAATGAGTCTTGTTGAGGAAAGCTGTGTTTGGCTTAAAATTTCCACCTGGTGAACGATAAAGCAAAATTGGAGACTTGGGCATGTTTTACTTTTAGTACTTTTTACTTATTACGCATAGCAAGCAACATATTCACAAATACTCAGAACTTTTCAGCAACCGCATAGCAACTCACTTAAAGGGGTGGTTGACTGGGTTTTTTCTAGGCTTGATTGTGTTTATGGGGTGCAGTCTAACATGTGTTAATGCTTCGTTTTTTTTTTTAAATGCATTATTTTTCACATAATTTACCTTTATTCCACACCGCTCTGTCCCTTCTCTCAGAAACGCGCTGATCATTTCCTTCTTTTATGAAGCCTCTCCCTCAGAAATACGCTATGGGCTCTGATTGGTTAGCTAGCCCAGTGTGTTGTGATTGGCTAAACCGCCTCTAGTGCGCGTCTAAACGTCCCGCTCCTCAACTCGGCGGCATGTGCTCCGGTTGTATTGTAAACAGCGGCGTCATTAATATCGCTTATCAGTTTGAGCCCAGTTGAGAAGCAGAGGATATTATTGAAGAGGATCATGCAGAACCTGTGCAAGCACGGCTTTTAATGGTAGGCCTATGTTTTTTGTTTGTTGTTGTCTCATACTTTTAGATATGCTGTTATTTGTAAATGCTACTGCTTATGTTAGCTTTTAATATAGTTTTATCCTGATTAAAGCTTTAATACAGTACGGCAACTGCACGCCCGTCCATGTATAACGCTTCTCATAGCCATGTGAAAATAAGTGTATAATTGGAGCTGAGCTGATGACCTGAATGAGAGAGAGAGAGAGAGAGCGAGAGAGAGATGCAGAGCGTGTGCAGAGCAGGGGTACACAAGGAACAGTATTAAGAACCACTGCTTTAGAACACTGATTTTGAAACTTGTGAATCCATTAGAATCGTTAGAAGACAGAATCGCGATTCATATATGAATAGATTTTTACGTGCACCTCTAGTTTTCTCTTCCTCTTCTCTGAAGCAGCTCAGCATGGCCTTGCCCCCTTCGTTGCGTGTTCCCGGGGGCAGGGTTTATCTGGGTTTGTGATGTCACGCACCCGGGAAGTAACTAGTCCCTACCAGCCATTTTTGTAGGCATTAAACCGCCAGAATTTTAGACGATATCTCCGTTTACATTGTACTTTCAGCATCGTAACTTTGCAGATATTGTTTATGCTCAAACAGCAACATTAGACACTAACTAACATTAAAAAATCGTAATTGAACCACCCCTTTAAAACATTCTGTAGACTTAAGCATTGATTTTTGCACAGGAAAGCACCACTCAGTTTCTATAAATGTAAAAATCAAGTTTGCATCAGTACAATAGCTCTGTTATTCTGATAAATGACTAAAGAATGTCAGTGGGAATAAAGGAATGATGTGAATAAAAAATGGAATGGACTTTTCCAACAATCAGTGTAGAGTGCTGGCAGCAGTGGTTTTCAGAGAGGATAGAGGCTGTCAGTATGTATGTGATCTGTGTATGTACACACCAGACCACAGCACAGCACAGCAGCTAGAGATGAAGCATGTTTCACAAAACTTATTTTATAGCTTATAGTTTCACAAAACTTATAGCAACTGTGGCCAATGCAGTCAAACATGATTTTGAAATAATGCAACTGATTAACAGAAGCAGAAGTGGGTTACCATAAATGATGATTGACATTGATGTCAACCACAGTTGCTCAATTAAGAACTTAAAACCAATATTTTAGCTTTTTTTTGGATGCTTTGAACCCCTAAAATGTCCTCTGTTTTGTATTTAAAATTTCATTATTTTTTGTATTTATACTTTATGAGAAAAATATTACACATAAATACACATATAACTATTATAATTTATAAAAAATTGAAAAAAATCTTTAATTAAATAATAGGCTTTTGAAACACTGCCCTAAAGCCAAAATAAACAAAATAAATATTTTCTGTCATTGCCATTTAAATCATATTTATTTGTACAGGGTATTCCAAAACAGTTTTACAGACAAAAGTGCTTTATAACCTCCAACAAGCAGCTGAAGAGCAGTATTAAGTAGAAAACTCTCAAATCATCACAAAAATAAATTACTGCTGAATAGATATTTCACAAAACAGAATAGATATTTTTATTTCTTACCGTTAAAAACTGATTTCATGGACAGGCCTGCATTACCAATGCAGTTATTTAAAATGGAAAATATGGCACGCATAGCAGCTCTAAGCGAAAAACTGGAGTGTGCAATGTGGGCAAGCCTTCCTAATCCTGATACTGAGCTAATGATGGACTGACAGCACTAATATCTTAATGAATCAAAACTCAATGTGTCATTTGACTATAAAATTGCAAAGTCAGCTAACCTGAACAGCTTGATGGTTATTGATGCTTCATTCTGGCTCTATTGCTGTTGTCTGTCTAGGATGGAGGATCAGGACAGGGTCAGTCAGGCCTCCAGCAGTGCCACAGTGTCCTTTCTGCCGATCAGAGACAAGGTGAATCACATACACATATGGACAAACAAACATGACAACATATTTCAAACCCATTGACAAGAGTGCAATTATACACGTGCAGTGTCATGAAAAAGTGCAGGAGTTTGGAAAGAGGTGTCAAGCGGCGAAAAGAGACCCCAACTGTCCTGTGGTGATCAGAGGATGGCTGTACAAGAGGGTAACGAACAGAGCACAATACTGACCATCTGTGTGTCTCTACCTGTGACAGCATCACCAAATCATGACAAATAAAGATCTCCAAATAATACCATACAATTTATTTTTTTACTTTTTATCTTTCTTACTTTAAATAATGTTATCTTTGTATTCATGCTGGTTTCATATATTATGAAAAACATCATTATATTATATCATTTTTATATAATGTATTCACCTTGAATACATGCGAGCATAAATATAGCATTAAGTTTTGAAATATGTAACATATTTTCAAGATAAAGACATTTTAGCAAATGTTATTGTAAACTAAAATGGTTATAAATCATTTTTGATAACTGAAATAACTGCATTACAAACATTAGATGAAAAACATTTTGGAAATTAGAGATAAATAAGTTGAAGTACAAAAATTACTAAAAGATAAATCTTAAATAATTAAAGCTATATAGAAATACAAAAAAAATCTAAATATTATTAAATACTATAATACTATATAAATTCTAAAATAACACATTTTAGCAAATAAAAATTATCTGATATTTTTGAGAGATTTACTGACCTTTACAGTCTTTAAGGTTTGCAGGGGTCTCCTCTGTGATGTAATTTCACATTTTATGTCATGTCATTTCCACCAATCTTTTTTTTTATTTAAGCCCTACACAAAAAAAAAAAAAAAAAAAAAAAAAAAAAAAAAAAAAATCTGAAATTCTAAACATAAAATGTTACTATTTCATAAAAAAAAAAAAAGAAAACTCAAATTTTTATGTAATCATAACTGTCTTTTTCTGTAGGACAGCACTGGACTGAAATTGTGGAAAAGAAGATGGTTTGTTCTCTCCAATTACTGCCTGTATTATTATAAAGGTAAAACCAGTTCTATGTGATTGTCTTATACAGCGTTTATCTAAAATGTAATGTTTTAAAGTGCAGTCATTTTCCATTTCAAACAGAATGAATTGACAGTTTTCACTTTAGATACTGAAATCACTACTCTTCCCTGAAATCCCTCTCTAAACCTGTGTCTCCAGACAGCCGTGAGGAGTCTGTCCTGGGCAGTATTCCTCTTCCCAGCTACAGGATTCTCTACTGCTCCCCTAGAGAGTGCAGGAACCGGAAATATGCATTCAAAGTGAGAGCCAACGTCTTATGGATCTCCTTAAATCTAAATGTTCATATGGTCTCATTGTACACTTGTGCCTGTAGGTTGTTCATCAGGGGATGCGGCCGTACATCATGAGTGCTGAAACCCAGGAGGACATGTTGGGTTGGGTCAGGGCTCTCAGCCAATCAGCAAGCATGGAGGCTGATGACATCATCAACAGGTGAACCTGAGCGCTCAAACCAAAATCGCTCCATTTGTATGCATTCTACAATTCACTTTAATGACTCTTCTCGTACTTTAGACGCTGTGCCAGTTTTCAGGACTTCACTCAGATGGGAGATAACGCTGAAACCATGGAGCTCCAGCACACGGCCATGTTTCCAGAACGAAACGCCCAGACCGCAACAAAACTGAGCAGGGCGCAGACAGAGCCGACTCTACTGGATCAAGACATGATGGGAATTCAAATGAAGACACCAGAGCTGAGAGGAAGACATGAGAACAGACCAATGTAAATGATCTGACATGCTTCAGAATGATACAGAATTTTAAAAAGGTCTTGATGGCCTTTTCTATTTAAATATAAAGGACCAATAAATTTAAGTCAAAGTCAATCAAGGTTTCTTGTGCCAAAACAGCCATAATTTACCTTTAGATGACCATTTTCTGCTCTTTCTCTCTGTCAGCGCACATGAAGCTACTGAGTATTCTCAGAGTTTGCTGAACGCAGATAAGGAACGTCTTTCCTTCCTACATCCGAAGGCAACCTTCAAGCAACCTTCACGTCCCAGAGATCAGTATGGGTCACCGTGTCACGGTAATATGGGCAGAGCAGACGTTTGGCCCTTGGATAACTGCTCGAGTGCTCCAATGTCACCCTGCATCTACACAGAGAGAGGACATCTGCTCGACAAGGTGAGAATCAAGAACATACACAAATGTGCTGATACGGTGCAAAAAACACAGTTTCTTTAACTGTCGATCTGTGTTTCAGCCAGAGTTTCCATGTTCTGTGTGTTACTGTTCCAACTACCACATGGCAGAACACATGGCAATGTGCAAGGTAAGACAAATCGGTGATAATAACGTCATGTTTTGAATCTTACAAAGTGATTTTCCATGCAATACAGCAAATACAAAATTCTTCATTTGTGATTGAACATCTGTTTCTATTTCTGCAATAGAGATCTTTTAAACAGTTTGAAAAGAACAATTCTTTAACACTATCACATGGTCTCTGACATCCCTGTGTGGCATATTACATGTTGCTCTAAAATGTTACAGTAGGCACATACTGCAGTTTATTAGATTTTTTCATGCTAGTTTTTTTCCCAGCCATGATTCAGCACATAAAAGTCATTTAGAACATAGACATAATTGACATTGCATTTATGTTGAACAACACAGACATTTTCATCTCTTTGCTAAAAAAAGGTTTCTACATTGCATGATTTTGAAGTTTTTCAAAACAAGATTACTGGAGCATGTTTTACAAGAAAATACTATTTCGTTTAACTCTTCATTTAATACTCTTCACTTCATTTAATACTATTTAACTTCATTTAACATTTCAAAATGTCCAATTTAAGTCAATGTGTTACTTGCCATTTCTTTGTAATTGTTTATAAAATGTACTAGTAATTTCTGAGTGAAAATTGTTTCTACACCATTATTTACTTCCTTTTGCTCCAGGCAGGTAAATCAGACATCGTCATAGAGAGAGAAATACAACCAATCAGAGATCTGGAAAACGATACAGATGTGAGTGCACTGTAATGTGTGTGTTTGTGAGAATTCATAATAAAGTTAAGAATATTTTGTACACCTTTGGGGCTTTAAATAGCCATGTTGGTGGTTACGAGATTATATTTACACAATGATTTTAAGAACATTCTTTTCAGTAATTCAAATTCTTCTTAAATGTTGTCTTGGTGACTTGAGAACTGTTGAAACTGACCATTGACTCGAGAAATGCTATTACAACATATGTGTACTTTTGACTCTTAACTACCTTCACTTGATGACTGTTACACAAGCAACATCAAACATTCAACAGTTTAAAAAAATCAGATGTTCTTAAGAAAATATTTGAGACATTTCTTATGAAATTAACATCTTCCTTAAGAACATTTTCATGAATCCACCTTAGTCTTAGTTTAGTATCCTTAATATTCTATTATAGTTTTTATTAAAATATTTAAATTCTGTTTTCACTTTAATTTTAAAGTTTTAGTAATTTTGTTGTGTTTTTGTCATTTTTTTGTTTAAAATGGTACCATTTTTAACTTTAAATTTTATTCATTTAACACAAATTCTATTTCAGTTTTATTAATTTTAGTACTTCAACTTAACGAAAATGAGAACTGCCAAAGCTACTAACTGAAATAGAATGCATTTGCTTTCTTTTTCATTTGACATCAATTAATGTATTTGAATAGTTTTAGTTAACTATAATAACTCTGATCCAGATGGTAGAGCTTCTGTCAGACTTTGCCTCCTTCTCTTCCTGTTGTTCAGGTGGTTCTCACTCATCTGTGTGGTTGTGACAAACTGCTGCAGTTCGTCTCTATGCAGCTGGCTCAGTTACAGGCAGATAAGGTCAGATCACATACACTGAAATCATGTACTGTAGATAAAAACACCTGACATATATTCCTGTATGCTCTCTACTTTTCTTTAGAAAAGCATTGAGTATGCTTTAGAAATCAAATGGCTGGGGATGGAAGACGGACTTCCTGGAGAGCTGGAAGTATCCCAGAAGACTTTGCTTCAGGAGGAGCTGGTTACACTCAGAGCCAGAATATGTGATTTGTCATCGGTACAGTACTGTGTGTATGTGTGTGCCAGGGTTGCATCAAAATATGGCTAAGTGAAATAAATTGCAAAGGCTTTGTGCTTCAAAGTGAAGCACGGCACTGTGTTCATTTACACGCCAGCAGCTCATGATCCACCAGCTCTGAGCTTGGGTAACTTTAACGTACATTTAGGAACGCAATGAACGCAAAATCGTAAAATATTACAGACCTACAAACAAGCAAAAAAAAATTGCAATTCGATTCTTCTCCTCAATTTGTGCAGCCCTAATGTGTGCTTATTGTCAAGCCCTGCATATATTTTGTACAGATTTCATTTTGTTTTGGCAAGTATTTAATAACTTTAGTCAGAGAAAAATGTTGACTTATGCAACAGAGATTATACAATTCAGTGCTTTTATCAGTTTGTTATATTGGCCTTTTTTAAATTATAGCCAATATGTTGATGGATTTAAATTGATCAAAAATCGGCCGATACATAATAAATATGCATAATTTCATACATGTTATTAATGCATGAATCAGACCTACTAAAGCAATGCCTCTCTCCTTCAGGAGATGGACAGATTGTGGAGTGATTATGAACGGATGGAGAGCGAGCTGTCCATTTTCCATTCTCATCTCCAACACATCCTTCACTTCGGAACGCCACAGGTAATACACACAAACACGTAATGTGATGTTTGGACAGATCACCTGATGCTCTGCTTCTATTACTGTTCCTTTGGGTGCAACCATCAGCATACAGATACATAGATACTGTAAACTGTCAGATTACAAGCATTAAAACTGAATTTCTTTCCTGTAACTGTTTGAAATAGTGTTGCATAGTGGTTAAAGGATTTGGACCAGTTAGATTTAGTTTTAGATAAATGCATCTGCTAAATTACTATTTAAATATGTTTCAATCCAAACTCCTCAACCACACACAGGAACAGATTCAGGCACAGAAGCAGCTCTGGATGATGGAGGATATCTTGTGCGGTTTGAGGGTGAACAAGAACCGCTTTATGGCTTTATTGGGTCTACAGAGACAGGGTGGTGAGTAAATGTATCAGTCTGTTTCAAAGTGCCTTCATTTAAGCATATATACGTAAATAATTTTCTCTTTCTATCCTACAGCTCCTCAGCCAAAACCTGTTTCCTACTTTGAGGGCGAGTTAGGAGGTCTCAACATGGTAATAAGATGCACTTCACTCCATTTTCAGAAAGTTAAAAGCTACGTCACCTCAAATCACCAATTCCTGATAAAAATGAATAACTTTCAGCAGCTTAATCTAGGCCTGGGCGAAAAAACGATATCGATATTTATCGACGGTACACCTTCTTCGATAACGATATAAAAAATGTTCGATATAGTGCACGATATAGGCACGTGCTCTGAGTGACGCAGACAGCACACACAAACACATGCTGAAATGAGTGCTGTGCCTGCCTGTGATGAGGAGATTGTGAATAAAAAAAATTAATATTAGTCGAATTTAAAATAGTGGAGTGGGTCAGGGAGCATCATCAGTGGCGCACAAGATGCGGTGATAATGATGTAAGTGACGTTGTTGCATTTTAATGTTTTGTTAGTCTTGCCTACGAGATGTGCCGCTGCTGTGTTATGCATTCAAAATATTAGAGAAATATAGAAGCTCAATGCGGAGAAGATCTTGATTAGGTTAAAACCGAAACCAAGCCATTCACACAGAACGCATATTCAGCGCATTTTTTTTAGACGGACAAATATGACTGCTGCACTCGCATCTCACACAAGAGATGTAGCCATGAAAAGTTAAAACAGTTTAAACTTTTAGAAAACTTTTTTTCATTTGTTGCATCCAGTGGGGACATAATTACTGATTATAATGACTTATACTGTCTTTTTACACGTTGCGTTGCATCGTGCCGCGTAAACATAAAACCCTGTCTGCATTTGTGATCAGAGAAATGACAAACAACAAGTGTTAATCCACACTGCCCAAAACTCGCGTTTGAATCATCAGTGGCAAATGATAAAAAAAAACGTACTTACGTGAGTCAGAACTGCCGGCATTTTAGTCTAAGTTACTCTCCCAGGATCAGTAAACAGTCCTCCATAAAATGTGCCGGCGATCCACAGCACTAAGTTGAAGTATTCCCTCAGCTACCAGCACGGATCAGCTCTATTGTTTAATTTTTATTGTGTGTTTGACTGTTAAAACAAAAAATAATTGTTGTTTGTCTCAATAAACTGGGTTAATTTAAAAATACAGTGGTTAAATTTAAACATATTTTCTATTGCTCTTTGTTTTAAAAAAGGTTATAAAAAATGTCAAGAATTATCGATACCGAACGTTATGAAACATTATATCGTTGATAATTCTTTTAGCTATAATCGCCCAGCCCTAGTGTAACGGGGCTGACGAGACATGAGACGTGCGGATCCATATGCAAGCTTTATTGAAACGAAGACAGAGACGTGGTCATGAAACAGGCATGGGTCAGATAATGTCAGACAGGTATATGGTGGGCAAAACACAAGAATAGTCCTAGGGCTAGAGCAGGTCGACGTAGCTTAATCATTGTCATTTTTTAATTGAACCAGGAAACTTCTGTTTACCAGCTCTGAGTCTTAATTAGCACACCACATTACTGCTAAATTGATACCAAATCTCCTATGGAGCAACTTGTGGTTAAAGGCACAAATGCACAATCATGAGGGATTGCAAAATGTATTCTTTAACCACATAACTGGATGAATACAAATAAAAGAGATAGGCTATATAAGTGTCATAATATAATGAGAAAATAAATGTAGTTTCATTTAGTTTATTTTAATTTTTTATTAAAATTATACATTTTATGAATTATTAATTTAATTTAATTTATTAATGAACATTTTATTAAGATACTGAACTGAATCAGCTCAGACCTACTGATTAGCCTGAAAAAATAGCCATTTTATACTAATGTTCAGAGTATAAATATACATAAATAAGAATAAATATACATATTCATATTTTGAAAATATTCAACTGAGCATTTTACTGACAGCAGAAGTCATAAGGGAGAGCTTGGGGTCCATTAAAGATTTAAGCAATAAGTAAATAAATAAATTAAATTAAATTACATTGTATTAGCTTGAATGTATTAATTTGAATAAATATTAAATTAATAATACTTTAACACATTTAACATGGTTTCATTCTGCTTTCTAAAGACTATGCTAAAGTGCTTTACAAATATATGTGCATTCTATTGCATTGGAAATGTTTCTTTCTAGGTTTATACATCCAACATTAATGCTAATAGTGGGTAGAAAAAACAACAACAGCAACTGTCAACTTGGAAAGTAAATAGTAATAGATAATATATTAATAATTTACCACTATATTTTAGGAAAGGGGTCCCTCACAAAGGGTTCATCATATTTAGGGGTCCTTAGCATTAAAAAGTTTGATTTAAAGATGAAATCTTTCTTTTTCTCTCATGTAAAAGGATTGTATGACCGAAGTGGAGCAGCAGGAGTACATGAAGATTCACCAGAGTTACAAGAAATGGGCTCAAGAGAGTACTGCCAATGACAGCATGACGAGTGCTGAACATGAAGCCTTACATGAACCACTGCATCTGACACGTGTTGTGACGTCTACACTTCCGACATCACTAATTGCAGAGCGCATTTTTGTGGACGACCCCTATCCTGAGCCGCCCAAACAAATCCTGCTGCAGTCAGGACTGAGGAACAGCCAGAGGAGAGCAGCAAAGAAACCCAGCAGAACTCTGCATGAGACGACTGACAAAAACAGACACTTACACTGGGCCGAAGGACCAGAAGAGATGCAACAAAAGAAACTGGCTCAAAATCACAACAGCAGTGCCAGAGAGAAGGCACTGGCTGACAGAAAGGTCTGGACACACCGTCAGCAAGAGGTGAGATTCAGCATATTAGAATGATTTCTGAAAGATCAAGTGACACTGAAGACTGCTGAAAATTCAGCATTGTATCACAGGAATAAATTACATTTTAAAATATATTCAAACAGAAAACAGTTATTTTAAGTTGCAGTAATATTTCACAGTAATGTAATTGTGTTGATGCACAACCATGTGGAAAGAGATGGGATAACCCAGAGCCTGCTGGAAAATGTAGTGAAATTGCAAGCAAAATGACCCAGAGTGCAATCAATATAAACATGGATGACTATGTGCATGTGTGCATGAATGCATGTTACAGCTCGAGCCTGGAGCCTTGTGCCTTACAAACTCTGAGTCTGACTGCGACGCTGCCATGAGCTCTCAGAAACGTCAAACTAAACCCAGACACATGGATAAAAGAGACAGAAGCATGAGGTATGGACATTTACACAATCTACAGCAAACAATTCAGTCAAAATGAAAAAAAGTTAAATTAACCTTAATAAAAGATATATCTGCATGAATACAAATACGCTATGCATGGTTAAAAAGTTAAATTGACATTAATAAAAGATATTGTTGCATGAATACAAATACTCAATGCATGCTTTCAAAGTTGCACTCAATCTTTAATTTCTCTGTGCACTGTATGCCATGCATGTTAGTTGGCTGTGCATTTCTTTAAATTTCTAGCTTTATGCATTAAATGCTTTTGAGAAACACCATAAATTAGTCTGAGTTTCGTTTTCAGTTAGCAGAACAACTTATTCTTTCTACAGTTGTTCAGCCTCAAACATTCAGTTCCACCCTTGTTGATACTACGCTTTTCTGAAATATTCCCTCTCTTCTTTCAGTGCTGCCAGAGAG